TAATTGCGTGCGTGCTTGAGTACGTCTAGCGCATAAGGATTTAAATTAATCTGATTTAAGTGAATAAGATTTAAAAATACGTATTTTTATTTTAACTTTCTTCAAACAGACAATTAATTAATTAAAATAGTTTAAAGTTAAACACGGACAGAAAGAGTTCCCGCTTTGCCATTTTGTCCAATTGTTTGTAGAGAGTAAATATTTATATTTCAGCTTTCTTTAAACAAACAATAATTTAAATATTTAGAAAATATTTTTTGGTATATTTAAAAAATATTCTCGTGTGAATATAATTAAAAATATCCTACAAGTTTGATTCCTGCTGGAAAACGATCAGTAAAACGTTGAACGTGGTTTGGTTTGCCTTGGTTTGATTTTTTTACAGCATATCAACCTCAATGGGTTATTTAATGCCAACAAAATTTTTATTGCTGGTAATTTTTTTCTTCAAAAATCTATTTCTGGGAATATTTTTCCTTGAAGAAATCTATAGCTGGTCATATATTTTTCCAAAGAATGTATAGCTGTTTGTATTGCTGGTATTTTCTTCAAAAATCTATTTCTGGGAATATTTTTCCTTGAAGAAATCTATAGCTGGTCATATTTTTTTCAAAGAATGTATAGCTCTTTGTATTGCTGGTATTTTTTAAAGTATTGCTAATAATAATTTTTCCTTCAAAAATAAGTATTTGTGGTATTAAAACCTATTTTTACAAAAGTTTGGGTGTTAACTATTTGCTCATAGCTGGGACCCTAACAGGTGCTACCACCCCGGGTCAGGGTGGACCTGGGAACACCAGCAATTAAGAGGTGGTTCCACGCTCCTCAAAACCTCCTGATCAGAGGCCTTGCTGCTGGATGTAGTTTATCGTCTTACCCAGAACGCGGATGTAGTTTTCGTCTTCCCAGGAGAACGCGGATGTAGTTTATCCTTTTACCAGACCAATGATGACACAAACGAACTGAATCTATGCGATTTTGAAAATGAAACAAACACTCTGTTTAACATAAGACTACATTGAATCCATCGCTAAGTCAGATACTAAGAAAGTTGGCTCCCTGTTTCCTGCTAGACAATTCTTCTCTCCAGAATCTATCATAAATATTTATAAGTTTACCATTCCTCCATGCTTAGAATATCGCTACTATATATGGTCCGATTTCCTTGCTATATATTTAGAAATTTTTTATAAAATCCAAAGAAGAGTCTGCAATATTATTGGACCTGAACTTGCCTCTCGGCTTTAGTCACTTTCCCAGGGCCGTAAGGTTGCTCATCATAGCCATTTCTACAGATACTTTCATGATAATTGTTCTGTGACGGAATGGTGATCATCTTGAATTTATACAAACGACTGATATATAACAATGTTGACTAAAGTTATAAATACAGACCAACATTGGAAGAATATTATCAGTAAATTCTATGCTATTTTGAAAATCAAACTCTCTGGTTAGCATTCTCGGCCGACATGAAGCGGAAAGACTACATTGCATCCATCCCTAAGTCAGATACTAAGAAACTTGCTTCACTGTGTCGTGCAAGACAACCTTTCTCTCCAGAATGTATCTTAAATATCTATGTTTACTATTCGTCCATGCTTAGAATGTTGCTGCTGTATATAGTCCGATGACCTTGCTATATATTTAGAAATTTTTGATGAAATCCAAAGAAGGAATATGCTATATAGCTGAAGTATAGAAATTAAACTAGAAAAATTAAAAATAAATAAAATATACCTAAATACAAATATGTTTTAAGTTAATCTGATTTAAGTGAATAATATTTAAAAATACGAATTCTTTATACAGTAAGTATTTTTATTTTGAATTTCTTCAAACAGATAATTTTTTTAGTTAAAATATTTTTTAAGTTAAAGACAGACACAAAGAGATCCTGATTTGCTGTTTCGTACAGTTGTCTGTAGAGTAATTATTTATATTTCAGCATTCGTTAAAGAAACAATATTTTAAATATTTTTTTGGCATATTTAAAAAAGTTATTTTAAGTTAATCTGATTTAATGTTCAAGTTTATCCCGGAAGTTCTATTTCTATTAAATGCTGTAAACAATCAGTTAAACGTTAAACATGAACTTGTAAAACTTGTAAACCAGACCAATGACGACACGAACGAATTGAAATATTTAACTGAATCATAATAAAATTAACTTTTATTTCAATGGAACGTTGAAATCAACTTCTTTTATAACCTGAACAGTCAGTTACCCTACGGGTAGTCTAGTAATAAATAAATATATTTAAGAGTCTGCAATATTATTGGACCTGAACTTGCCTCTCGGCTTTAGTCACTTTCCCAGGGCCGTAAGGTTGCTCATCATAGCCATTTCTACAGATACTTTCATGATAATTGTTCTGAGTCGAAATGGTGATCATCTTGAATTTATAGAAACGAATGATATAAAACAATGTAGACTAAAGCTATAAATAGAGACCAACATTGGAAGAATACTATCAGCAAAATTCTGTGCGATTTTGAAAAACAATAAATATATAGAGTTTATGTATTTCGACTGTGTTCATCAGTAGATAAGATTACATAAAAAATGTCTCGCTCTTATTGATTTAAAATTACATATTTGTAAGTTTACCTTTTGTCCATTCTTATACTACTGCTACCAGATATTGTCTGGTGCTCCTTCTATATATTTAGAGATCCTTGATGAAATCCAAAGAAGAGTCTGCAATATTATAGGTCCTGGTTTTGCCTCTCGGCTTCAGTCACTTTCCCACGGCCGTAAGGTGGCTTATCTGAGGCATTTCTACAAATACTTTCATGGTAATTGTTCTGAGTCGAAATGGTGATCATCTTGAATTTATACAAACGAATGATATAAAACAATATAGACTAAAGCTATAAATACAGGCCAACATTGAAAGAATACTATCAGCAAATTATGTGCGATTTTGAAAAACAATAAATATATAGAGTTTATGTATTTCGACTGTGTTCATCAGTAGATAAGATTACATAGATGTCTCGCTCTTATTGCTTTGAAATCACTTCTTAAATGTTTTCATTCGGAAAAAAAGAGACGGTGGATCATAAACGCGTCGAAGACACGTGTATCATCTTTGTATTATTCTAGCTGCAGGAGAAAGTATAGCAGGCAGAAGGGGGTTCCGGTCTTTCAGAGCTGCTTGTACTTTTTTTTCTACGCGTTTTTTTCTATTTTTTTGTTATTTGATTTGGCTGGGGAAATTGCTTGATAGATCTTTTGTCTCAGTGACTACCTGTCGTCTGCCTTGGACAGCGAGACACCTGTAGTAAATTAACCCATTTATAGCTTCATCATCCGACATTTAACTAAAAACACGGAACCGTTTTTGTTTTAGTTTTTTTGTTTTGTTTTTTTTTTTTTTTTTTTCTGGAATATGATTCGTCAATAAGAATCACATGTACCTCAATGGCATCATGTCTTTCTTTGTTATAGCTGCAGGAGTGTGTATGGCATGAGGTGGGGTGTTCCGGTCTTGCTGGATTATTTCTTTATTTTCTATACGCTTTTTTTGCCATTTGATTTGGCAAGAGAAATTGACTTAATAGAGTTTGTGCCTCAGCGTGTCCCTGTCGACTACCACAGTTTTCCACCGATTCTAAAATTAATTTACAAATACATAACGCCATCGTCTTGCATTACGAATGAAACGCCGAACTAGATGTCTCATACGGAACATTTTCCTTCGGATTTCGGCCAGTGCTTGTGCGGCCCTGGGACCTTCTTCAATGATAACCTTCCCACATTCTCGTGTGGGTGTAAAGTATTCCCTTCTTCTCCTTTTTTGGGATGTTTCTATATCGACTTGTCCTAAGAATTCTCCCACTGGCGCACACCCTGGACACAGCTGCGGCGAAGAGGTGAGTGTGTCGGGCTCTGCCACTGACATCTTGTGAGGCGTGGATCTGCACTTGTTTGCTACGCGGCCACCTCTCAGGTCAACCAACCTATGCATCTGGCTTCCCTTGAAGAACACTGACTGCAAATATCCGGATTCATGTCTGTTATGTATAGGCATGCAAATTTTTCCGGCTAAAATGTTGAGTGCGTAGATGATTGAAGTCCATATGTTGACAATGAGTAAAATAGAAAAGAGATTCTTTTATTTCAAAGATTTTGGAGGATCTGCATATCAAATGAGATTTTTAGGACAATGCGGAAACTGAAATGAAAGGTGAGAACCAAAAACACTCTAAAGAAAGAAAGAAAGAAAGAAAGAAAGAAAGAAAGAAGAAAAGAAAGCAAGAAAAGAAAAAGAAAAAAGATTGGAAAAATAAAAAAGGGAAAAAGAAAAGAAAAAAGAAAAATGATATGTTTGGAAAATGGAAAGAAAAAGAAAAAAAAGAAAAAAAGAAAAGAAAAGAAAAGAACAAAAAAAGAAAAAGAAAGAATGAAAGGAAAGAAAGAAAGAAAAGAGAAACAGAAAAAAAAAAAAAAAGAAAAAAAAAAAAAAAAAATTGTTTCCAAAAAAAAAAATTTGTTGGGAAGAAAAGAAAAAAAAAAAAAAAAAAAGAAAAAAAAGAAAAAAAAAAAAAAAAAAAAAAATGAAAAGAAAGAAAAAAAAGCAAAATTTTATATTTAGGAAAAAGAAAAAATTTAATATTGTTAAGTTAGAAAGAAAGAAAGAAAGAAAAGAAAAGAAAAGAAAGAAAAAAAATGAAAGAAAGAAAAGAAAAAGAAAAGAAAAGAAAGAAAAAAAATAAAATGTTTGGAAAGTAAAAATGGGAAAAAAGAAAAAAAGAAAAAGAAAGAAAGAAAGAAAGAAAGAAATAAAAAAGAAAGAATAAAGAAAAAAAGAACATAAAAAAATACAATTTATCAAAGAAAGGAAAGGTGAAAGAAAAAAAAAAAAAAGGTAACGAAAAAAAAAAAAAGCAAAATTATTGAAAAAAAAATTGAAAAAAAAATGAAAAGAAAGAAAGAAAAAAAAAATTTAAATGTTTTTATATAAAAGAAAAAAGAAAGAAAAAATGAAAAAAACTCAAAGAAAGGAAAAAAAAGAAAAAAAAAAGAAAAAAGAAAAAAACGAAAAAAAAACGTGGAAAAAAATTGCAGAAAAATGGACAAAAAAAAAATAAAAAAGAAATAATTTAAAAATAACTTTAAAAAATTTTGAAAGAAAGAAAAAAGAGAAAAAGAAAAAAAAGAAAAAAAAGAAAGAAAGAAATGGAAAATAGGAAAAAAAAAAGAAAAAGAAAGAAAATAGATAATAATTATCAAAACAAAAGAAAAAAAAAAAAGAAAAAAAAAGAAAAAGTAACGAAAAAAAGAACGTGGATGTCAGAAAATAGAAGAAGGAAAAACGGAAAATATTCCTTCATAATATACAAAAAATTTTCGAAGAAAGAAAGAAAAGAAAAAAAGAAAGAAAGAAAGAAATGTTTGGAAAATAAACAAAAGAAAAAAATGAAAAATATTGCTTCTCAAAGAAAAAGAAAAAAGAAAAAAAAGAAAAAAAAAACTTAACGAAAAAAGAAGGAAAAAAAAAAGAAAAATGTTTGGAAGAACGAACGAAAAGTGAAAGAAAGAAAAAAGAAAAAAAAGAAAGAAAAAGAAAGAAATGTTTGGAAAAAGAAAGAAAGAAAGAACATAGATATGAAAAATATTGCTTCTAAACAAAGGAAAAAAAAAAAAAGAAAAAAAAAAAAAAAAGGTAACGAAAAAAAACGTGGATGGAAAATAAAGAAAAAGGAAAAAAATTATAGAATGTTAAAAGAAGAAAATAGATATACCAAAATTTTTCTCGAAGAAAAGAAAGAAAAAAAAAAAAGAAAGAAAGAAAAGAAAAAATGTTTGTTTAAAAATTATAAAAAGGTAAAGAAAAAACATAATGATACAGCAAAAATATTGCTTCTGAAAAAATGGATAAAAAAAGGTTTGGAAAGAATAAAAAAAAAAAAAGAAAAAGAAGTTTGGAAATATATAAACCAAAAATTTTGCTTTTCGAAAACGAACGAAGAAAAAAAGAAAAAAAAAAAAAAAAAAAAAGAAACAAACAAAAAAAGGAAAAAATGGAAGGCGGAATTAAAAAAAAGCAAATAATTCAATATACTACTAAAAGAATGAAAAAAGAAAAGAAAAAAAAAAAAAAAAGAAAAGAAAAGAACATAAAGAAAGAAAGAAAGAAAGAAAGAAAGAAAGAAAGAAAGAAAGAAAGAAAGAAATGTTTGGAAAGTATAAAAAGAGAAAGAAAGAAAGAACATAGATATGAAAAATATTGCTTCTCAAAGAAAGGAAAGAAAAAAGAAAGAAAGAAAAAAGAAAAAAGGTAACGAAAAAAAGAACGTGGATGTCAGAAAATATTGCAGAAAGAAGGACAAAAAAATTGGGAGAGAATAAAAAAGTTAAAGAAGAACATAGATATACCAAAATTTTGCTTTTCGAAGAACGAACGAACGAAAGAAAGAAAGAAAGAAAGAAAGAAAAAAAAGAAAAAAAAAAAAAAAAAGAAAGAAAAATGTTTGGATGTCAGAAAAAGCAGAAAGAAAAAAGTAAAAAAAAAAAAAAAAAGAAAGAAAGAACATAGATATGAAAAAAATTGCTTCTCAAAGAAAGGAAAGAAAAAAGAAAGAAAGAAAAAAGAAAAAAGGTAACGAAAAAAAGAACGTGGATGTCAGAAAATATTGCAGAAAGAAGGACAAAAAAATTGGGAGAGAATAAAAAAGTTAAAGAAGAACATAGATATACCAAAATTTTGCTTTTCGAAGAACGAACGAACGAAAGAAAGAAAGAAAGAAAGAAAGAAAGAAAGAAAGAAAGAACAAACAAACAAATAAACAAAGGGAAAAAAAAAAAGCAGGATTAAAAAGACAAATAATATTAATATACTACTAATAGAATAAACAGACAAAGATAGAAAGAAATAGATAGAAAGAAAATGAAGATAAAGAAACGAACAAGCTGAGATGGATGTAGATAGAAATAGACAAAAAAACAAATAGATAGATAATATAGATACTAATAGATACGAACGTTGAGATAGATAGATGATAGATAGATAGATAGATAGATAGATAGATAGATAGATATAGAACAAGATAGATGAGATAGATAGATAGATGATAGATAGATAAATAGAACGATTGAGATAGATAGATAGATAGATAGATAGATAGATAGATAGATAGATAGATAGATAGATACGAACAAGCTGAGATAGATAGATAAATAGATAGATAGATAGATAATGAACAAGCTGAGATAGATAGATAGATAGATAGATAGGAATAGACTGAGATAGATAGATAGATAGATAGATAGATAGATAGATAGATAGATAGATAGATAGATAAAGAAACAAAGAAAGAAGGTTTAGAATATAAAAAAAGAGGGAAGAATGTAGTCTCAAGAAAAAATGGCTTCACAGGGAAAAAAGAAAATTGGTTAAACAAGTAAATAATGAAAATAATTCTTCACCTCAGTGCGCAGAAAGATTGAAAATATTTTTGTATTTATTTTTTTAATTCAGGCTGAAATTTGTAAGAATGGAATTTGTTAACAAAAGGTAAGTTCACTAATTCGCGCCATTTCGCCGGGTTTTTTTTTTTCATAAATGGCGCAAAAATAAGTCAGACATTTTCTGGTTGTCTTCACTTGCAAATCATTTGGAAATCTGTTGTGTCTAATGAACAGACGAGAGAGAAAAAGAAATAAAAAGCTTAAGGACGTGAGGTAATTGGAAAAAGAAAGGCAAAAAGAAACAAACAAACAAAAGAAAGAACGAAAGGAAACAAAATAAAGGTCGACGGAATCAAAACTAAAAGAAAGTAATATGCATAAGAAACAGTTCCATGCTGTCTTGTAGACAAACGCGTTCTGTGCTATCTTGTAGACCAACCTGCTCCGTGCAATATTGTAGACGTTCTGTTCTGTCTTGTAGACGAATCCATTCTGTGCTCTCTTGGAGATGAACTCATTCTCTACTGTCTTCTACATAAACCCGTTTCATGCTGTCTTGTAGATGAATAAGTCCTGTGCTGTCTTGTAGACGAACCTATTTTGTGCTCTCTTGGAGATGAACCCGTTGCATGCTGTCGTGTAGACGAACCCGTACCGTGACATCTTGTAGACGAACCCATTCCTTATTCTCTTGTAGATGAACCCGTTCTGTGCTGTCTTGTAGACGGACCCGTTACGTACAGTCTTGTAGACGAACCCGTTCAGTGCTGTCTTGTAGATAAACCCCTTCTGTGCTGTCTTGTAGAATGGACCAGTTCTGTTCTGTCTTGTAGATGAAGCCGTTCCATGCTGTATTGTAGACGAACACGTCACTTGTTCTCTTGTAGACGAACGCGTTCTGTGCTGTCTTGTAGATGAACCCGTTCCATGCTTGTCTTTTAGACGCACACTTTGCTTGTTCTCTTGTAGACGAAACCGTTCTGTGCTGTCTTGTAGATGAACCAGTTCAGTGCTGTCTTGTAGACGGACCCGTTCCGTTCTGTCATGTAGACGAACCTGTTCCGTGCTGTCTTGTTGATGAACCCATTTCATGCTGTCTTGTAGACGGAACCCGTTCTGTGCTGTCTTATGGACGGACCCCGTTCCGTGCTGTCTTGTAGTCGAACCGGTTCTGTGCTGTCTTGTAGGCGAACCCGTTCCTTGTTCTCTTTAGATGACCCGGTCCATGCTCTCATGTAGACGGAACCGTTCCGTGATGTCTTGTATATGAGCCCGTTCCGTGTTGTCTTGTGGACGGAACCCGTTCCTTGTTCTCATGTAGACAAACCCGTTCTGTGCTGTCTTGTAGACGAACCCGTTCTGTGCTGTCTTGTAGAGGAACACATTCCTTGTTCACTTGTAGACGAACCCATTGTGTGCTGACTTGTAGACCAACCCTTTCGGTGCTGTCTTTTAGATGAACCCGTTCTGTTCTGTCTTGTAGACAGACCCGTTGCGTACACTCTTGTAGACGAACCCGTTTCCGTGCTGTCTAGTAGACAGACCCGTTCCGTACACTCTTGCAGACGAAGCCGTTCTGTGCGGTCTTGTAGATGAACCCGATCCGTGCTGTTTTGTAGATGAAGCCGTTCTATGCTGTCTTGTAGACGAAGCCGTTCTGTGCTGTCTTGTAGATGAACACGTTCCGAGCTAGCATGTAGACGAACCCGACCCGTGCTGTCTTGTAGATAAACCCGTTCTGTGCTGTCTTGTAGACGAACCCATTCCTTGTTCTGCTGTAGATGAACCTGTTCTATGCTTTCTAGTAGACGACCCCGTTCCGTGCTGTCTTGCAGACGGACTCGTTCCTTCCTCTCTTGTAGACGAACCCGTTTTGTGCTATCTTCTAAACCAACCCTTTCTGTGCTGTCTTTTAGATGAACCCGTTCCTTGCTGACTTGTAAATGAACCCGTTCCGTGTTGTCTTGTAGACGTAGCAAGTTCCGTGCTGTTATGTAGACGAACCCGATCCGTGCTGTCTTGTAGATGAACCCGTTCAGTGTTGTCTTGAAGATGAACTCGTTCCGTGCTGTCTTGTAGACGGACACGTTCCGTTCTGTGTTGTAGATGAACCCGTTCCGTGCTGTATTGTAGACGAACCCGTTCTGTGTTGTCTTGTAGATGAACGAGATCTGTGCTGTCTTGTGGACTAACCCGTTCTGTCTTGTAAACGGACCCGTTCTGGGCTGTCTTGTAGACGAACCCGTTCCTTGTTCTTTTATAGACGAACCCGTTCCGTGCTGTCTTGTAGATGAAACCGTTCCATGCTGTCTTGTAGACGAACCCTTTCTGTGCTGTCTTGGAGACTAACCCGTTCCGTGCGATCTTGTAGACGAACCCGTTATGTGCTGTCTTGTAGACGGACCCGTTATGTGCGGTCTTGTAGACGGACCCGTTCCGTGCTGTCTTGTAGATGAACTTGTTCTGTGCTGTCTTGTAGACGAACGCGTTCCGTGCTGTATTGTAGACCAACCAGTTCAATATTATCTTGTAAACGAACCAGTTCCGTTCTATCTTGTGGATGAAGCCGTTCTATGCTGTCTTATTGACGAAGCCGTTCCGTGATATCTTCTAGACGAACCCTCCTGTACTGTCTTGTAGATGTACCCGTTTCGTGTTGTCTTGTAGAGGAACACGTTCCGATCCATCTTTATACGAACGCGTTCCTTGCTATATCGCAGACGATCCAGTTCAGTGGTTTCTTGTAGATGTATCAATTCCATGCTGTCTTGTGGATGAACTCGTTCCATACTGCCTTGTAGACAAACCAGTCCCGTATTATCTTGTAGACCAATCCGTTTCGTGCAGTCTTGTAAAGGAATCCGATCCGTGTTTTCTTCTAGACGAACCAGTCCCCTATTATCTTGTAGACGAAACAGTTCTTTGCCAGTTAAAGCTAAGTCAGAGGTGTGATCAGCTGCCAAGCTTTGTCTTTCGAGGCCTTTTGAGCTGCACCCCTTATACGGTTGTGTCAACATCATAGACATTCACAAATGATCAGAGTATGCTCAAATCGCTGCTTTGTGGAACCGACTCCCAAGTGGATGTTTCCTCAATCACTACAATTTGTGCCTATTCAATTTTAGGCTGAACCATTATTCATATATCCGTAACTGTGTCTCATTCTGTAACCCTCTACCTCGAATAGTCGTTGAAGAAGAAGAAGAAGAAGAAGAAAAAGAAGTAAAAGAAAAAGAAGAAGAAAAAAGAAAAAGAAAAAGAAAAGGAAAAGAAGAAGAAAAAGAAGAAGAAAAAGAAAAAGCAGAAGAAGAAGAAGAAAAAGAAGAAGTAAAAGAAAAAAGAAAAAGAAGAAAAGAAAAAGAAGAAAAAGAGTAAGAAGAAGAAAAAGAAAAAGCAGAAGAAGAAGAAGAAGAAGAAGAAGAAGAAAAGAAAAAAGAAGAAGAAGAAGAAGGGAAAATAATAAAGAAAAGGGAAAAAGATGAAATTAGAGAGGAAAAAGGAAGAGAGGATAGAGTGAATGATAGAATATTTGAAGAATTGAGAATAAATGAAGAAGAAAATTAGAGAGAAGGAAAATAGAGAAGAAAGAAATAAAAAAAAGATGTGTGAAGAAGTGAAAGAAACATAAATAAAAATTAGCAAAAAAAACAAACAAAAAGCTTTTTTCTATGTCATGATTGAAAATTAAATAGGGTCTGGAAAAAAGAAATGTCACCTTTGATAATATTTTTCTTACTTTTCTTATCTATCTATCTATCTATTTCAGCTTGTTCGTATCTATCTATCTATCTATCTATCTACGTTTAATCATAATTTATCTATCTATATATCTATCATTGTTAATATAAAATGACCACAACTTAACGCTGGCATTTGTTTTGGTGCTAACTTGAAACTTTTCATCGTTCAGCTGTCAGTCAGACCCTAACTCCTGCCAGTCAGACCCTAACCCCCGCCAGTCAGACCCTAACTCTTACCAGTCAGACCCTAACTTCTGCCAGTCAGACCCTAACTCCTACCAGTCAGACCCCAACCCCTGCCAGTCAGACCCTAACCCTTTTCAGTCAGACCCTAACCTCTGCCAGTCAGACCCTAACCTCTGCCAGTCAGACATTAACCCCTGCCAGTCAGACCCTAACCCCTGCCAGTCAGACCCTAACTCCTTCCAATCAGACCCTAACCCCTGCCAGTCAGACGCCAACCCCTGTCTGTCAGACCCTAACTTCTGCCAGTCAAACCCTAACCCCTGCCAGTGACACTCCAACCCCTGCCAGTCAGACCCTAACTCCTTTCAGTCAGACCCTAAACCCTGCCAGTCAGATCCCAACCCCTGTCTGTCAGACCCTAACTCCTGTCAGTCAAACCCTAACCCCTGCCAGTGAGACTCCAACCCCTGCCAGTCAGACCCTAACTTCTTTCAGTCAGACCCTAACCCCTGTCAGTCAGACCCCAACCCCTGCCAGTCAGACCCTAACCCTTGCCAGTCAGACCCTACCCCTTCCAGTCAGATCCCAACCCCTGCCAGTCAGACCCTAACTCCTGCCAGTCAGACCCCAACTCCTGCCAGTCAGACCCAACCCCTGCCAGTCAGACCATAACCCCTGCGAGTTAGACTTTGTTTAATGCTGTCGATTTGTCCACGAATGAATGTTTTAAACATGGCGCACTTTCGCTGCATTATGTTCTATGAATTTCGTAATAGAGTAAACTTCGAAACTGCGACAAAAAAAAAAAAAAAAAACTTTCTGGGAGTTTACCGGGATCATGCTCCAGGTCTTCGGACACTCAAAAAGTGGTTTTGGTAGATTTCGTTGCGGCGAATTGAACCCAAGCGATCAATCACACTCCAGCCGACCTTCTGACGTCGATTAAGTTGCTCTGCCTGCAATCGAGGTGAATAAAAGTTTTCGGAGGTAACGATTGGTAACAATTTGAAAATCGACTGTTTTTCGCCATTTGAATAGGCTGTGATTCTGACAAGTCGAAATATAGCTTCTTAACACCACTGGAATTAGGAGCAGGTGCGCTATATTGAGTCTAGGTGGTTTCCTCTTCCTCGCCGAGGCTCGCTGGCCCAGTGATATGACCCTTAACGGTCCGGGTTCGATTCTTGGTAGTGTATACGTACTGATGATGAGACACCAAAAGGACGAAACGGCCGTCCAGAGCTTTCTGCATTCTGTTAAAGTTTCTTATTCTAGACTCAATGAATTATTATGCGAAATTAATTAAATCTCCAATCTTTGTCTATATACACCTATGCTTGATCCAGGTTTAATACTCTGTATGGAGTGGCCTGGTGAAGGAAGACGTTGCTCTTGGGGCCGGTCCCAGTGGGTTATGTATACATGGATAAGTATCACCACCGGAATTAGGAGTAGCTGCGCTATACTGAGTTGGTTTCCTCTCCGTTACCGAGGCCCGCTGGCCCAGTGGTATGACATTTACGTTGTATCGTAACGGTCCAGGTTCGAAAGAAGAAACCTGATGAGTCCCAAAAAAGGCCGAAGTTTTTCGATTCACTAGAGCAGGTCTTTTTTTCCTCAAAAGCTTGGTTCCTCTAATTGCTGACAGTCAAGCCACTGTCTATTAGGACATTAATTGTTGCATTAGGTGGTAAGAATTCAAAGTAGATTATTTCACACCAGATTGAAAAAGAACCTTTTCCATTTTTCGGCTGTCTGGGGTCCTTCCCAGTCAAACCAAGTCTAACATTTCGATAAAAGATCATTTTTCGTCGCCAAAAGGTGAAACAAGTTGGCGAGAATGGAGAGAAGAGCAGATGTCAACTCGGGATTTGAGGTTGTTTTCAGACAATTCATGAGGCACCCATTTTCCAAGTTTAGGAACTTTTCCAAGTTGTTGAAGATGACGATGAACAGTTGTATGGTTTGAACTGAGAACCACTGCCAATTCCTCAACTGATAAAGCAGGATTTTCTTCAAGGGCTGCTTCAAGAAGCTTTTCATCAAACTCAACTGGACGTCCGGTTCGATCTTCATCTTCAAGGGTGAAATCTCCACCTCTGAATTTTGCAAACCATCTTCTGCAAGTTCTTTCATTCACACATTCCTCTCCATAAACTGAGTGAATGTTTCTAGCCGCTTCGGCTGCTGAGTTTCCTTTCTTGAACTCATAAAGTATTATGTGCCTCAAATGATTCTTGGGTACTTCCATGTTAGCAGGGTTTTAATCAAACAAAATTTAATTTTATTGTTCTCTGAAATAAAATTTGATCAGTTTAAATGCATCTAAACATAAAAATAATGTTCAGCTCCATTAGACATTATAAAATACTCTTTAAATTTCGTTCATTTTAACAAAAATTTAAAATTCGGACAGAACTTATGGGATGACCTGATAGATCCGATTTTCCAGATCACGTCCATTTTATTTAAGGCGGTCCAGGCATTAGCTATGTGAATGTTCCCATCCATTTCAGTAGAATTTATGTCGCTTCCTAGGAATGTAAAAGATTCAACAGATTTTATTGAATCACCTGAGAACTATTGAAAAAAACCATACATTAAAAATTTGCTGTTAAATAATAGTACTCAATGTAATATATCAGAACTCTTAAATATATCTTAATAAGTATTTCAATATTATTCCTCACCAGTAACATTTTTTTTTTTTATGCACCTTTTTTTTGCGTTGTGCATAAGACGCAAAAAAAAAATGTATCATATCTTCACTTATGCATGTTTGTTATAGGATTGTTATAAGCTCTATTTTTTGTAGACTGAAAAATTTATATGATTTCAATGTGGGAGACAGATTGTAGTATAGGTTCTCCGATTATCTGGATAGGGCAGCTTCCATTGCAATTAATTATTATTCTTTATACTGGACGGTCTAGGATCGAACAAATTCCAAAATGCTCAAGTTTCAGCTAGTTTTTTTTGATTTGGTACACTATGATGTTTTTTTTTAAGTTTTTTATTCGCTCTATGAAGGCCAACCATAAACGGTCCTGCATCAAGGTCGGAAAGGTCATTTGGCTGACATTATCTCAATCATATCATAGTTGGTCAATATAAGTGGCTGCTGGTTGATCAACACGTTTTGCTCTGTGGCTAGGTGTCCAGAGCAGTAGATCACTCGCATGTTCTTGTCTGGCTCCCCAGCAGCGTCCTGAAATTCGCATTTTGCATTCGCGTAAGATTGTAGAAAATATCAGGAGATGGGTGCATAGAACTGTGATTTAATTCGTTCTAAGAGATGTTAGTAATATCTCTCAACATCCGAGTGTAGGTTCCATCAAGCTTAATCTCAAGCATTTTAGTTAATGTCCATGCAGTGGCACTATACATTAAAACCGATTCTACAGTGGCCCGAAAAAAAAGCTCTGTTAAAAGGTTGTCCGATGGATCAGAGATGTTTTTTGCATACATTTTATTGCGGCGGCAAAAGGCCTTATTTGGAATGGATTTTCCCACTTTTTTCAGTAGAATGTTTTTCGATTCCTACATACGTAAATGATCCGACAAAAATTTGATTCTTCGGAGACATTTTCTATTGAGCATTTCTGATCGAATCTAATGAATTCAGTCTCAGAGGCATTGACATAGAGCCCAGCATTGTTACTAGCAGGTAAACAGATGATGTAAAACTGTGGTATTGATAATGGTGTCTGCCGTGATAGCCAGGTCATCTGTATAGTTAATATCGGTCTGTTTTGTCTGAAGTGATCTTAAATCGAATCGGCTTGTATAAATGGCGCAATACAGTCGTCCTGTTTTCCAGTTTCTGTAGTCTTTCTGACATTTTTTTTGTGCTGAGTAAATGT